CGGCACATGGACCGTCAAAATTGTCCACTCGCATGCCGACGGTTTTGATAGAAACAGTACTCATGTCACTTGTCCCCACTGTACTCCATGTAGATCAATTTATAGTCTAGTTGTGAGTTTTTTAGCGGGGTGAATTTGTAAACCGAGGATTTTTAAAGCGGGAGTGTATGTATGTGGATATTATATATGGAGCAAACATGTGGAGCAAAGTTGTGTCACTTGACCTCACTTTACTTTCTCCAGATTTGCCTCTACTTGATCATCATCAATACTGTAACAACATTGGGGGTTGGTAGAAAAAACTTTAAAGTCCAAGGAGACTAAGTATTGTTTGGTTCAAATTCTAAAATTATGGGATTTGGAATCACATCAAGAATTTCAAATTCATAGGTTTTTATACATATTTTGGAATTCCTAATCTTTTATTTGGTTCAACATGATTAGAGGAAAGCAAATCCTAGAATTTATTATTTTTCATTTGGTTCAAGCCTAAAAATATAGAAAAATACAAATTGTATAGATACCTAATGTCAAAACTTTAAATTTTTAGCATTTGACATATCCTCTCCCAGTTGTAGGATTTGGCAAATCCCAAAAGTTCCTACTATTTTTCATTTTATGCATACCTAATGCCAAAAGTTTTTGAAACAAACGCTCTATATGAAATTCCATAAATGAAAATAAGACATTTTTTGCATGAATTTCAAATCCACCTTAAATTGGAAAAATTTTGTCGAACCAAACATCCCCTAAGTGGAACACTTTAATATTAAAAGGAGTTAAGTTGAACAAACAAAGTTTTAGGATAATTGCGTGCAAAACCCCCCAAGTTCAAGGTTTAGGTGAAATTAAACTTTACCATATCTATACTTGATATGTGCAGATCCACGTGAAATAAAAAGATAATTTATTTGTACAAGTGACCGGAAAAGATGATAATATAATTGTCATTTAACTTATTCAATATGGTATGTGCTCCTCAAATTTACTATCTAGTGACTTTCCTTAATTTCTTAAATTCTAATGACATATACTCATTGCTTTTGCTATGTACATACTCATGTATGTACTAAAGTTATATTTAATTATTTATATACATGTATGTATATGAACATGTACTCTAAATTAATTGCTGAAAATTATATATATTTTAATTCTGATATATTTTTAATTCTAGAAATTTTATATAAGCCATTAAAATTTTAGCCTACAAAGAAAATTAGAAAAATAGGCTTTGTTGTTGTAGTAGTAGTCACTTAAAAAGTTCCTTATTGTAATTCTCTCTTTAACAAACTTTCTTTCTTTATGCAGAAAATATTCCATGTAGCTCTCTCCGAAAAATTACAACAAAGCTTTGTTGATGTTGTTGTTGTTGCAGAAAAACTTACAATAGTTTGATAATCCGCTAATTTGTTACTTTCAGAATATGCAACATATATTTTGTAATTGTTTACAGAAAAATTATTATATATTCACCTTTGCATCACATTTAAATGGATATTATGTGGAACATAGATAGTTGTTTAGTTCTATTAGTCAGATGATGCCGAGCCTGATTCTAATTGCCTTGCATTAAAAGGGAAAAAGGAAAAACTCAAAATCATATGCATTTGAACCTTGGCCAATATTTTAACTCGTTTGTCACCTTTTCTATTATACGTATGAGAATATATACCTCAATCTCAACATTATACTAATGATGAATACGTTACTGGTTTACTACAACTCCGTTAACATATGAACGTCACGTACAAAAACGTATGCATTGTTAATGGGGAATAAAATTGTTAGAAAATATCATACCAACCACCCTATAGCCGCCTCCTATTGTGTAGCCGCCGCCTCCTAGTGTGTCGTCACCGCTGCCTCCTCCTAATGTTTATTGATTGTGTGTATATATATCTTGTATATCTTGTAAATCTGATAATCAAGTATAGAGTTCTCTTCAATACCAAATTAACATGATATCAGAGCTAGGTTCAATCCATTAAAATTAGCTAGCGGTTTTTTTACCTACTTTCGTCGTCGCCTCCACCTGATCCATGAGACTGGGCCTCGTTGACGGTGATGCTCCTCCCAAGCTACCGCCGAAGCTCCTTCTGCCTCCATGTTGTCTATCTCCAAGTTTGAAGCCTCTCAAGCCCCCGTCGAAGCTCCTCTGAATCCGCAGCCGCCCCCAAATCAAGCAACCGCGTCGTCTCTATCGTCGACGATATCTCCAACCTAACCCTCCTCGAGGTCGCCGATCTCACCGATCTCCTCCGCCAGCGCCTCAACATCGACCAGATGTCGATGATCTCGCCGTAGGCGCTAAAGGCCTGCTCGAGGGAGTGGCTGTCAGTGGCCCACGCAAGCGCCCCCTACAAAGCAGCGGAAGCATGAATCTTCATACACAGAAGCGGCGCTCTCACTCTTTCCCTCTTTCTTTAGGATTCTGGTGCTAGGGTTTCATCTCTCTTTTATCTCAGACCCATCTTCTATTAACAAAAAAAACAAGTTCCAAAGAAAAATTAAAAAAAAAAGAACTCATGGACAAGAAAGGACTCTACATCTTTCTACCCCTTGATGTGCAACTTATAAATATTGAAAATTATATTGCATGGTCTCTTACTATGCAGTATAATCTTCGAGCTTTCGCACTATGGGGTTATATTAACAGATCTCTTTGTTGTCCATCCAAAACTGTTATTGTGCCTTCGTTATCTACATCCTCCATATCAAAAGTCACTTCTAGTGATTCCACTACTAATGATTCTCAGGTCACTTATTCTCAGTAGATTAGTACTGATCAACAGAACATGGCATATATTATGCATTTTGTAGCTATTCCTATTCGGTTATCCCTTGGACGAGCATCTTCATCTTGTGAGTAGTGGCTAGCTCTCAGTTGCATATTTGTTCAGACTGATGTTGATCGTGAGTATCAACTTCACCAAGCTCTTCGGGATGCACATCAGAGTGATCGCTCTATTCAAGATTTTTATTCCTTATTATCAGGCTATTGGGAGGTATTGCAGATGATAGAGGAACCTATTCCTGAGATGCTTCCAGACTTTGTCATGGAATTTCAAAAACAACGTGATCGTTAATAGTTATATCATTTTGTCATGCGCCTTCACTCTGAGTTCAAAAGCTAACGTGGACACATTCTTCATCGTAGTCCTCTCCCCAGTCTTCGTGAAGCCGTGGCTGAGTTCATATCTGAAGAGACGCGCCTTCAGATGCTCTCCCCTCTAGTTATTGCATCTTAGCCATTACCCTCATCACATATTGTTCTAGCTACTCATCAGCAGTTCTCTTCCTATCAGGGTCCTTCTGACAGTACATCTGATTCCTCTCGGCAACTCTACTGTCGTTATTGTAAGAAGTCGAGTCATCTTATTGATAAATATCGTAAGAGATCACCTCGTCCGGCACTCGAGAAGTCTCGATCTCTATTTGCTGCTTCGTCTGATGTTAGCTCTGCTCCTCAAGGGCCGTAGACTTCTAGCCCTCTCTCTTCTAAGCAGCTGTCAGAGATTACTATATTAATAACCAAGAATCTTGGGTTTAGTAGTGCTGCCTATAGCTCAGATTTTACTACATTGTCTGCTTATTTTTTGTATTTCTACTCCTTGGATATTCGACTCAGATGCATCTCATCATATGACCTTTGATAACTCTGTTCTTACAAATTATTCACTTGCTCCCTCTTCATTATGCATTTATACTGCTAGTGATACTCCCATTGCCGTCTCTCAATTAGGTGATATTACTCCAAGTTCTGATAGTTTTGGTCGTCTAACTTATCATCTATTCATCATATTCCCAAATTATATATGCAACTTTTATCCATTGGGAAAATTGCAGATTCTGATTGCACTATCTTATTTAATGCAAAATCTTGTGTTGTCTAGGATCACACTGGCTAGAAGATTGGGACAGGTCATAGAATTAATAGACTTTATCAGTTGGAGTCTCTACATCTTTCCACTCCATCCAACATTGGTCATGGGCTCTCTGTTTCTGATTTGTGGTACCGTCGCTTGGGTCATTGTTCACTCAAATCCGCAAGTGCACGGATATCGTTGTAGCGATGCAAGGTCGTATCCTTAGGGACTTCGTTGTTAATTACTGATTTTCACTATTTTGTGACTATCTAAACCAATCGTGTTAAAAAGTATGATTTTTGATTATCAATAACGAATACGCTAGCTAGTATCAACGACGAATTCACTCAATTAAAAGGATCTAGGATTGAACTTCGGTTTCAACTCTAGTTCGAATCAACAAATTAATCAATTGTTATCGAATCTCTCAATGCATTAAGAACGACTAACCTATGATAACTATTAGTCTCTTTCGATGACTAAAAGTCGCGCCTAATTCAGCCTAACAACCTATTTTCATGGTGTTAAACCAAATTAAACCCATTAAGTTCTTGTTAATCCCTCATGTTCTCAAGAATATTAACCTACTTTCGTGATCAATTAATTTTTGTTCAATTACTATTTTTCGGCGTTAATCTAACCTTTCAGTTCAAATCAACATCCTAAAAGAATTAAATCAGTGGCCAATTGAATTAACCCTAGGCAATTAGATATTAGTAACTGAATAATGCAAATCGAACAATCAATAACAACAACAATCAGTTCATTAATTCATAACCATGACCGAACCTAGTTCAATCCCAGATAAGACAATTACTCACACATAATTGAAATAGAAAACATGGTAACAATATATAAGATCATAATCATAAACTAAAAATTAAGATAGATCAGAAAGATAAACTGTAGTGTTGAAGTTGCACACAATTCTCCACAAATAGCAGGTTCCAAATCAAAAGTAAACTAATCTAAGAGTTTTTAGAGAGAAGAAGAGAAGAAGAAAGAAAGAAAAATCAAGATCTCCAGCCTCTGGTCCTTCTCTGATGCTTCAGGGCGTCTCCTTTTAATTCTTTTACAAAAACGTGTTGAAAGATAACTTCAAATAATGCTCCAGATCGCATGATAACTGACTGCTGTTATCCAACACGGCTGTGCAGATCAACACAACCAGGCCGTGTTTAATTTTGTTTCGCTCTGCTTTCTGGGCTTATCTTCTGTAATCAACACGCCTGTGTTGTTGAACACTGGGTGACCGTGTAGCCACTTTTCATGCATTCCTTGACTCCTTCTTGACTCCGAATCCGCGCTAAGCTCTAGTAATTCCTACACAATATATAAATAGAGCAGTAAACAAGAACTAAGGAGCTTAATATGGCCAAAATGCAAAGAAATACATCAAATAACAATGAATCCATAGGTGAAACATAGTCAAAATATAGATAATATTCATGTTTATCAACTCCCCCATGCTTGAACTATTGCTTGTCCTCAAGCAAAACAAATGAAAACACACACATGAGAGGGTACAGATTCAAAGAAAATAGAAATTAAGCACAAAGGTATCCACTATTCTCAAGTTCACATGCAACATTATTCCACTCAGCCCAATGTCAAAACAGAAATCTTGTCTCAAGTTCAAAGTTGAAGAAAATGTATCTGTAGGCATTCACATACGTTAGTGCAAGTAACTCAACTCATAAACGTTGGAAAGAGAAATGGCATGACAAAGTTATTTTTTTTTTTTTGATTACCCAAAACTCCTCGTGACAGACACATATCTCATCACAATGGGTCATACTCTTCCTACTTAAGGTCTCAAAGGAGCACTCGGTTTCCTTGCATTTTATTCAAATTTTTTTTTTGAAAATCCCGTCATAATTAACACCTACTGACGTGACAGCCATACTTCTGAGGGTGCGGTGCCAGGTACTCGGTGCAACAGACTTTAGGACTTTTTTTTACAAGGCCGAGTGTTTCTCCAGTAACCAAAAAGTATTCCAAGTCACCAAAGAAGCTTAGGTTTTAATTAGATGGGTTGAGCCAAAATCCATTCCTATCTCTCCAATGTTTAGAGTTAAGTATCGACAAAGTGGAACTCAAACAAATAACATCCTAACCAACTGAACATGAAACAAAGATTTTTTTTTTTTAACAATGGGGCATGTGAAATAAATGATGTACGTGCTAAAAGGTTTTGCTGAACAGTGGTTGGGGCATGTGAAATAAATGATGTACGTGCTAAAAGGTTTTGCTGAACAGTGGTACTCCTTTTTTTTAAAGCTAAATGAAAAATCCCAACACAGAAAACAAGCACTCAAAAACACCAAAGCATACATGAAACATTATCCCAACAAACCCACTCCCCCATGCTTGAATTGCACATTGTCCCCAATGTGTAAATAACTAAAAAAAAGAGAAAAGGGACTTACTACTCATTGTGGTGGTGGAGGAGGTGGATAGCCATGAAGTAGTGACCATTGGTGCATATGTTGCTTCTGGTCATTCATTGTTCCAAGTGTATTACCAAAATTGTCCAAGCTGGTGTCCATGATGAGAACAGATCTGGAAGTTTCAGATGTTGAATGAAAGAATTTGGTCTATGAATGTTGATGAGAACAGATCTGGAAGTTTCAGATGTTGAATGAAAGAATTTGGTCTATGAATGTTGGCGTTGCTCTTGGCGTAACGACAAGGGCGGTGTCTTGGCGCTGGAGGCACGCCTGGCAATTTGGTGGTGTTGGATGTGATGAATGAGAGAGAGAGGCGGAAGTGTTGAGTGGTGGAATCAAAGTTGGTTGGCCACGGGTGTGGTGGATGCCTTCCCAGGGTGTGGTAGACTCTGGAAATGAGATGAAGACAGTCCCGACTGCTACACGGGTGTGTTGGTGGACACGGCCTAGCTGTGTCAACTGTGTATTCAATATTTTTCCTTCTGTCCTCTTTAGCCTTGAACTATCTGTTACCTATTTCCTTTTTTTCATTCACCTACACACCAGTTCACATGTCATGAAACTAATAAAACTAATAATTAAAACACTAAAAGAAAAAATAAAGTGAAAGAAAAACTTGGGTTGCCTCCAAGAAGCGCTCGTTTATGGTCATGAGCTCGACCCCTTCAATGCTCACAATGATGATGGACCGGGAAGGGTAAAAGTACCCAACTTCTCGATCGGAGTTCCTGTGAAATAATACTTTAATCGCTGTCTATTGACCTTGAAAGATCTCATGGCTTCACTCCATACTTCGACAGCCCCAAATGGGTATATCTTGCACACTTGGAATGATCCAGACCACCTCGAACAAAGTTTGCCCGGAAAAAGCTTGAGTCGGGAATTAAGTAGAACTATCAAGTCTCCTTCTGTAAACTCTTTACGGAGGATATGTTGATCATGCCACTTCATTGTTCTTTCTTTGTAAATCTTGGCATTCTCATACGCATCCAATCTTAATTCATCAAGTTCATTTGGTTGAAGCTTTCTCTGTTCCCTTGATTCTTTCAAATCTAAATGAATGCTCTTGATAGCCCAATGTGCTTTATGTTCCACTTCAACTGGTGGAGATGGACTGGTTTTAGACTTCTTCTGCTGCTTTTTGACACGACTGTGTCTACGGACACACCATGGCCGTGTGGAATCATTATTCAACATCTTCCCAGGTGTAGTTTTCTCTTCACAAACCTGTTCTGGGCTGTTTCTGCTGCTTTTTGACACAGCTGTGTTTACAGACACAACCTGGTCATTCAGCCCCCTTGCAATTTCGACCACTATATCAGGTTCTTTGATGTAGGTGGTTTTGGTGTAGGTTGGCTTTTCATCAAGCATTGTAACATAGGAAGTTATTTCCTGATCATCATCATCTGGTACCCCATTCTTTACTAAACATTTCTCAAGTGGATCACTTGAGATATCTCTGGTAAAATCTTCTCTAACCACCATGTCAATCGTGTCAATCCTGCAACAAGTATCATCAATTAGTGGAAACTTCATAGCAGAAAACAAATCAAAATTCACCTTTTCATCCCCTATATTGAGAGAGAGCTTTCCATTCTTCACATCAATTATCGCTCCAGCGGTAGCAAGGAAAAGTCTTCCCAATATAATGGGGATTTGAGAATCCTCCTCCATTTCAAGAATAACAAAATCAACTGGAATAAAAAATTTACCAACCTGGATGGGTACATCCTCTAATATACCTATCGGACGTTTAACCGATCGATCCGCCAATTGGAGGGAGATAGTAGTAGGCTTCAAGTCTCCCATCTGTAACTTGTTACATATAGACAATGGCATAAGACTGACACTAGCACCGAGATCACATAGAGCATGATTAATTGACATATCACCAATTGTGCAAGGGATTGAAAATGAGTCAGGATCTTTAAGCTTAGGTGGTAGCTTATTTTGTATGATGTCACTACACTCTTGGGTCAAGGCTACAGTTTCATATTCCTCTAATCGCCTCTTATTTGATAGAATCTCCTTTAAGAATTTGGCATAGGATGGCATTTGGGAAATGGCTTCAACAAATGGGATGTTAATATGCAATTTTTTTAATATTTCTATGAATTTCCCAAAGTGTTTTTCCAACTTAGCTTTAACTTGCCTTTGAGGGAAGGGTAGTGGAGGCTTATAAGGTGCAGGTGCTACATATCTCTCAACATTCTCCCCTTTCTCACCAATATGATCTTTCTCACTTGTCACCAACTTCTCACTCTCATCAATCACATCCCTATGATCACTCCTCATCATTGGTGTCTCTAGCTCTTTTCCACTCCTAAGTGTAATGGCATTGATAGATTCCTTGGGGTTGGTTTCAGGTTGTCCAGGAAACATCCCAGAAGGTCTGGAAGAAGAGTTAAATTGCTGGGCTAGTTGAGTGACCTGATTCTCTAGCATTTTGTTGTGGGTGGCTAAGGATTCAACTTTAGAGGCTAGGTTCCTAATAGCATCATTCATGATCCTATTCTGATTTCTAAATTCTTCATTCTGTTTATTCTGGGATGTCACAAAATTTTCCATCAAGCTCTCTAAGTTGGACTTTTGGGGACTAGGGTAAGGGAGTCTAGGGGCCTGAAAACCTGGAGGTCGAAAATTTGAGTGAGGAATCGGGTTCAGGGATGGATTTTTATAGGATAAATTAGGATGATTTCTCTACCCCGGGTTGTATGTATTAGAAAAAGGGTCCCCTTTCTGATTAAAATTATTCATATAATTAACATGTTCAGATAATGGTGCATCAGGGGAAGGGGAGTTTCCAATCTGACATTCCACGGTAGAATGTCCAATGATACCACATATTTCACAGTTAGTAGAGTTAGATGCTACTGAATTCATGCTCATTGTTTTCAGCGAAAGTTGACTCCATTGTCGATTCCATTAAACTTTGATTTGTTTACACGAAATTACAATGAAAATAAACGAAAATACAACTTTCGAGAAAATAACACAGAAATTGTTTATCAACTCCTGCTTTGTGGGACTTTGCCTGTGCCGTGAGTGCTTTGGCTCGTTGACCACCGATTCAAAGATCGTGAGGGTGCTTAGGGATCTCTCCTTCGTTTATCGAAGTAAAGATTTGAAAACGAATATCTTATCGATGTAAGATGTCCGTTCTTCCAAAGATCAAGTCTGAGCTTAGATCTCTAGGAATCACCGAATGATGCTTGTCAAATGGTGAAAGTTCTCTCTCTTTCAAAAATCACTGAAAGCTCAAGCCTCTTCTGCTCCAAAAATGCTCTCTGTTCTTTATTTCGTGTGTAGGGAGGTATTTATAGGGGTCTCAGTGCACCACAGTTGAAACAGGGGCGAAATAACTGACCGAGTGTTTTCTCTTTGGCCGCTGCAGTCTACACTACCACGGCTATTGGCGCGGCAGTATAGGCTGCCGCGGCCAAAGAGACGGTTATCAGCACGTTCCATCGTGCTTAAAACCGTTCTCCCATGACCTTTAACCACTTTTTTCGTGGTTTAACTGCTTGTCCACGTCAGCACACGTTCTATTTCTGATACGCCGCCACATGGACTTCAAAAATCATCGAATAACTACCTTATAACTGCCATAGTATCCTTCTTTAACTGCCGTGGCA